TTATGCGAGTGTTTCTAGAACTAGTGCGACAGTCGGACTTGGAAATATTTCCACTATTCGGGGAAAGTTATGCGAGTGCCTTTCGAAAAAACGCGGCTGCCTGTGTAGGAAATGGTCTGACTAGTCGGGGAAAGTTATGCAAGTGCCTCTCAAACAGATACAGCTACAGGAATTGGAAATATGAGGACTAGTCGAAGGAAAGTTGTACGAGTTATTCTGGAACCAATGTGATGGTCGATCTTGGAAATATTCCGATTAGTCGTTGGGAATTCATTTAAATGTTCTCGAATAGATGCTGCTTTCGATCTTGGAAATATTGCTACTAGACGATGGAAAGTTATGCAAGTGTCTTCTAAATCAATGCGACAGTCGGACTTGGAAATGTTCCGACTTGTCAAGGGAAAGTTATGTAGGTGCATTCCGAACCAATTCGGCTGTAGGACTTGGAAAAATTTCGACTTCTCTAGAGAAAGTAATGCGTGACCCCTGTGGGTAGGTGGTAGTAGAATACGCCCACAGTGCACCCTGCTTGTCGTAAGAGGCGACTAAAAGGAACTGCGTGAATGTTGTGTGTATGGGCTTGTACGGCTATATCTTTCTTTGTTCTTCTGTCATATCTTTTTCTATTCTTTGTCTCTCTCTAGATTCCTTCCATTCCTTTCCCATCCTTTGGGAAGCTTGTCTCCCACTAATACTACTTTATAATCATGGACAGTACAGCTATATGTACAAGCGTGCATGGGAGGGACACCCACGCCACGATGGTGTCAGGTGGTGGAAGGGCATGCAACCCGCCGTCGTCAACCAGTAACTACCAGAAACTCGGGTTAGGCAAACTGGCCCCAGCTCTGGATAATGCATCAAGAAAGGCACCACAGTTAGGCGATCTCGCCTGTGGTATATCTAATGCGCCAGGAAGGTTAGGAAGGGAAGAAAGCCACTTGGAGGAGTGGCAAAGTGCTGCCAGGGCCGTGAAGAGCATGTGGCGCTCCGACTTAAAGATAGCAATCTTGGAGAGCACGCTCAAACGGGCCCCTTATCTACTCCTCAGAGGAAGAGGAGTTATGGGTATACATGGCCCAGTGGAACAAGGAACTACGGGCAGATATCATCTTGTCTCAGGTGGAGACTTGCAGGCTACTGGAACTGGCCATGATGCATATCCTAGTAGCCGATAATGAGAGGAGAAAATCCACCAACATTAAGCGCTCTGCTTCACGAAAGATGAAACTATCCCATAATGATGTGATAGAATAATGAAAATCTTAATGGATAGGTTTCAACCTGCAGCAGGCTATTCTCCCTCAACCAAGTAAGCCATGGCGCAGTTAAAGGCAGAACTCAGGACCTTGGAACCGCGCAATAGTAAGTTGACGGATGAACTTGCCCGTCTCAAGAAAGATAAGAGGAAGGCATCGATAAACCCCTTGACTGAGAGGAGTCTAACAATGACTCCTGAAATACAGCAGGTAATCGAGTCGGTGATGTTGCTGAAGGAGGCTGTCTACAGTATCCAGCAGCAACGGCAGATAAAGCAGCAGCAGCAGCGGCAGCATACATCGAATGGAGCAGCAACTCGAGCTGGTGGATCACACAAAGGCCCCACATTCCGTGCTGAGACCGTGCGACCCCTTGCAAAACAGGTAAGTGTGAGTAAGGCACTAATCCCGCAAGAGAATTGTGTGTAGGTGACTAGCCGGAAAAGGAGACGAGTCCAAAGGAGGGAAGTAAAGCACCCCCCCTGGCTTCAACAAAGGAAGGAGATAACGACCCTCAACTTTTGCGAGAGCAGGCGGCGCCCAAGAAAAGGGGGAAGAGGAGGAGTTTCGCGCAGGGAAGAAAGAAGAGGAGGCAAAGGGAAAGGGAAGTTTGCTGCAATTACCCTATACTGTGCCGAAGAGACGACATATAGAGACACACTCTTCCTGGCCAGGGAGAATAAACATTAAAGACCTAGGGATCGGCAGCTGGAGGAGCCTCACGAGTGCCATTATATTGCAAGTACGAGGCAAAGGGGCAAATGAGAAGGCCGACCGGATGGCGGAGGCCTCGATGAATGCCGTCCCGGGCGCAAAAGCTACTAGCCCTCTGCGCGCAAGCACCATGAGTTTGGAAGGACCAGATGCGGCTACAAACATGATCGTCATCAGGAATGCGCGGATGGAGATGCATTCCGGAACGGACCCCAACCTCATTAATGTAGGGGAAGTAAGAATTGTTAGAGTTAGACTAGACGAGGCCACTGTCTTGGCTACGGTTCCTGTCATCCGAGCGGCCCTGGAAAGGGACAGGATAAACGTGGGTTGGACATCGGTGAGGGTGCACGGATTCAGGTAGCGGCTCATCAGGTGCCACAGATGCCTGGCGCGAGGATATATTGCTGTAGTGTGCCCGGCCTCAAAGCCCAGGACAGACCTATGTTACATTTGTAGGTAGCCGGGTCACCTGGCCAAGACATGCACGGATAAACGTGAGTGTCCGGTTTGTACAGACGCTTGCCAGAAGCCGACCAACCACCGGGCCGGTTCTTGGGAGTGCCCGGTTGTGCATCCTATAAAATCGATTGACAAGCTTTTCGGGAGGGCACCAAATGTTTGCCCTGAGACAATCCGGGAAGACCTGCATAAGGTCGCGGAAAAAACGGCAGCGAGGACAATGAGAGTGATCGAGAAGAGGGGATTGCATGAAGACATGGAGGTGGAACAAGGTGAAACGTTCACCTCAATAGGTGTAGAAGCAGTAGAGGGTCCATAGACAATGTCCTTTGCTGTTCTACAGATAAACATAAACCATGCACGTCGTGCGCAGGACTTGCTGACACAGCGCATGCGCGAGAACAGAGAAGAGATTGCGGTCATTGCGGAGCCACGGTGAGTTCCTCCTGGGGATGAGAGGTGGTTCTAATCCCTAGGAGGGACTTCACTCTCCGCGGAACTTGTAGGTGAAAGTGAAAGACCATGTAGCTTGGTGCGTCGGGGTCTTTTTTCGTAGCCATTAAATGGGGGAACTCGCTGGTAGTTTCGGTCTTCTTTCCTCCCAACGAGAACATTAACATGTTTTGTAGACTCCTTGATGAGCTCGAAGAGCTCTTAGGAACATTTCCCACTCTCCCAGCGCATGTAGTTGGCGACTTTAATGCTCGGTTCTGTAAATGGGACACGGAAGACAAGAGTTACCGTAGGGATGAGTTGCTCTGCGTCTGGGCCAACAGAATGAACTTGGGTCTGCTGAGCCGGATTGGCTGTCCCACTGCGTTCGACCACAGGGTTCGAGCAGTATAAATCTAACGTTGGGCACGCCAGCAGCTGGCGTCCGCTTCTCGGACTGGAGGGTGGATGAGTCTAAGTATCCGTCGGAACACCTATATGATAGATTTAGCTATAGTCACGAGGACACAGGGGTCCGAAATTCTCGACCACAACATAAAAAGCTCCCTCGTTGAAAGGTTAACTCCCTGGATGAGGACTACTTATTTGCGGCCCTCATTTCAGGGGAGTGGACGAGTGAAACTATGTGCGGGGAGAATACGGCCAGTGCGGACTGTGCAATCAAACTTGTGATGTGGGCGCAGTCTACACTGAAGTAAGTGTGCGACATGGCCATGTCCCGGGTAAGGGTACAAACCCGCGGTAGTAAAAGTACTTATTGGTGATCAGACGTATTAACGAACCTTAGGACCGTTGCGACGACTACAGTAAGGAAACTTTCCAGTGCCAGGAAAAAGAAGAACATGAAGGATATAATGCGATGCCTGTACGCCCGAAGGGACGCAAGGAGAGCACTGATCAGGGCAATTAAGGAAGCCAAGAAGAACTACTGGAGGGACCTGCTGGACTCTATAGAGGATGATCCATTGGGCAGACTTTACAAATTGGTCTTGGGGAAACTCAGGCTTTATGCTCCACCAGTAACTATAACCCTAGAAAATGGGGTACTGGAGAGTATCCTCTCTGAACTATTCCCAGAAGGACCGGAATCTGATGGACCGCAGGAACCTACACTCTCAGATATGACTATCTCTGCGGAGGAGGTCTTGGCTGCCGCCAGGAAAGGAAAAGGAAGAAGGCTCCTGGACTGAATCAAATAACAGCTGTGATTGTGCGTGCTGCGTCGACACACTGTGAGAAACGGTCCTCAAGCATACGCAGTGCTTCTCCGCATGCTTGAGGACAGGAAGGTTCCCAACAGCGTGGAAGATAGAGAGGCTCGTTCTAATCAAAAAGGAAAGGGACGCGCCCCCGGATTCGACAGGATCATATAGACCCATAAGCGTGATTGGCGAACTGGGGAAACTATTCGAGCGTGTAGTTGTTGGCCGGATCAACAGCTACTTAGAGGAGACTCGGACCCTGGCGCAATCACAGTATGGATTTAGGACGGACAGATACACTGTAGATGCCGTCCTCGATATTAAAAACTTTGTGGAGGCATCGACGCGGGACAGGAAAATGGTTATGCTGGTGAGTCTGGATATTTCTAACGTTTTCTACTTCTTACCGTGAGCCGTTATCGTTAAGGCGTTGGAGCGAAAAAACTTTTCACGCTACATGGTGAATATCATCAGGAGTTATTTAGACAACCGCGCCAAAACATATACAGACAGACATGGACGCGCCGTGGAAAGACAAGTGTATTGTGGGGTCCCACTGAGATCCGTTTTGGGTCCTACGTTGTGAAACATTGCCTATGACAGTGTTCTCCGAATCCCGATGCCAGGTGGCTCCCATGTTGACTGCTATGCGGATGACACGACCCTCCCCTCATCGGGATGGGGCCTGTCTCAGGCTATTATGAACGCTGAGCGGGACTTGGACATTGTGGTGGAGCAGATCAGGGGATCAGGTCTTAAAGTGGCACCGCAAAAGACGGAGACCATGGCCTTCCCTGCCTCTGCCTTCTGCAGACGCAGGAATGTCCCGCCGGCTAAGATTTCCCTTAGAATGGTTTAAGTAGATATTAGAACCAGCGTTAAATACCTGGGCATAGTAATAGATTCAAAAATGTCGTTCAGGCCCCATTTCGAAGCCCTAATCCCTAAAGTGGAGGGTATCCTCCAGTCCCTTAGGAGGCTCCTGATCCTTCACGGACTGGGGGAGAAGAAGCAACGCCTCTACAGCGGCGTGATCCACTCGGTGCTCCTTTATGGGGCGCCAGTGTGGTGGTGCGCCGTTGTGGAGGACATGAGGATCGAATGGGCTGTTCGGACCATCCAGAGGAAGGTTGTGATCTGGCTATGTTGTGCCTATAGAGCGGTCTCCTTCTACGCGGCTATGAATGCGGGGATTATTCCTCTCGTTCACTTGGCATCTCGACTGGCGGAGATTTATGCGGCTGTTAGAGACGCGGAGGATCCTGTTCCCCGTGTAGTAAGGCTATATTGGGGTCTCTTGCCAGACGGAGAGCAATAAAAACGTGGAAGTCTGAGGAACTTGAACTCGTATGAGCAACAACAACAACGGGAGTGCGTTCGAGGGTGGCTATTGCCGAATGGTTATCTGAGTGGATTGGGAAGCCATTCTCTATCGGAACGACATTTCACATCACACAGCTGATGACCGGCCACGGCTGTTTCTCGACGTACTTAAATAAGATAAGGAAGATTCCCTCCCCACATTGTTTCCACTGCGAAGGGAGTGTGAATACGGCGGAGCACATCCTGGTCAACTGCCCGGCGTGGACGGATGCCAGGAATGAGCTGATCGATGCGGTGGGAGAAGGCAGTTTACTCTTTCCGTGATAGTCAGGGTCTCCCTGCCTGTCCCAGGGAAATGGGCAGACTTTCGAACCTTCGCAGGGCGGGTCATACGTGCAATGGAGAACGCTCAGAGGCGCAGGGAACGGACGCAAAAAGAAGGATCTATGAGTAAGCATGCGGGTGTGCATGTGGACAGGAGTGCGAACGATAGGCCGCATAGGAGAGTAGTTCCAGTGCGGCCACTTCGGACAAGGCTCCGAAGTGGTCAGGCGGCGCCTGGCTCACGCGTCGCTTCCCTCTAGGTTTGAGTGTGTGTATACATACAGTGTGTATATACGGGCGTAAATGGGCTTGGTTAGATCACCATGGATTAGTGAACGGGCCAATATGTATGTATGTAGTTAGGGAGTAATTGCGCCTCCGGGGGCTCGTGTGCTCCTGTCGAGTGCGTCGTATTGGTACGAATGGAGATGAAGAATGAAAGCAAGGCGAATACCGGCCTGGCTCACCGAGGAGTGGTACAGGGGGAATTTGTAATAGGCTTATGCGCGTTCCCGCTCACCCCCTCTCTCCACAGCGCGTTAGTAATAAGGATCAGAAAGTTTTTTAGTCTGTAGGCGATCCGAACCTGGGAGAATTCTCAGGCGGGTTGGATCCGACAATCCCCTGAGTACCGGGCTCAGGGGACCTATGAAGGTTTTTCCTCCTAACGAAACAAAAAAAAAGGAGAAAGTAATGCGAGTGTCTTTCGAACCAATGCAGCTAGCGAACTTTGAATTATTCCAATTAGTCAAGGAAAGTTTTGCGAGGTATTCTGGAAACAATGCTTCGGCCGAACTTGGAAATATCCCGAATAGTCGAGGAAAAATTATGATAGAATCTCTCAAACCAATGCATACGTCGGACTTGGAAATATTCCGACCAGTCGAGGGATAGTTATGCGGGTGCTTCTCGATCCAATGTAACTGTCGGTCTTGGAAATATCTCGACTAGACGAAGGAAAGTTATGCGAGTGTCTTGTGAAACAATGCGACAGTCGAACATGGAAATATTCCTACTAGTCGAGGGAAAATTATGCGAATACCTCTATTATCAATGTTACTGACGGGCTTGGAAATATTCCGACTAGACGATGGGAAGGTATTCGGGTCCTGTCGAAACATTACGTCTCTCGGAACTAGAAATTTTCCGACTAGTTAAGAGAAACGTATGCGACAGTCACTCGAACAAAAGAGACCGGCGGTCTTGGAAATATTCCGACTAATCGAGGGGGAGCTATATGAGTGACTTGTGAACCAAAGCGACTGTCGTAATAGGAAGTATTCCATCTAGGGGAGGAAAAGTTACTATAGTTACGTGTTACTATAGAACCAATGCGGCGCTCGGTCTTGGAAATGTCCCGTATAGTCGATGGGAAGTTATGCGAGTGTCTTGTAAACCAATGCGACTGTCGGTCTTGAAAATATTCCGACTAGTTGAGGGAAAGTAATGCGAGTGATATTAGAACCAATAAGACAGTCGGAGTTGGAAATATTCCCATTAAACGTGGAAATTTATGCGAGGGCCTCTAGAACAAATGCGACTGTCGGACATAGATATATACCAACTAGCCGACAGTACTTTATTCGAGTAACATGTGAGCCAACGCGACTGTCGTACTGGGACATATCTCAACTAGTTGAGCGAATTTTAAGGGAGTGCCTTTCCATCCAATGCGTACATCGTGGTTGGAAATATTCCGACTTGGCGAGGGAAAGTTATGCAATTGCCTCTCCAAAGAATGCGTCTGTCGAATGTGGAAAGATCCCGATTAGTTGAGGGAAAGTTACGCGAGTGATTCTCGAACCAATGCATCTGTCGGGCTTGGAAATATTACGACTATTGGAGAAGAATTTGAACGAGTGTTTTTAGAAAAATGTAACGGTCGGATTTGGAATTATTTCCACTATTTGAAACAAGTTATGCGAGTGCCTCTCAAACCAATGCGTATGTCGGACTTGGAGATATCGCGACTAATCAACGGAAGTATATGCGAGTGCCTAGTAAACCAATGTGACTGTCGGGCATGGAAATATTCCGACTAGTGGACAAAAGTTTATCGAGTGCCTCCTGAACGAATACGGCAGTTGGACTTTGAAATATTTTGACTAGTCGAGGGAAAGTTATGCGAGTGATTCTCGTACCAATGCAGCTGTCAGACTAGGAAATATACTGTCTAGTCGGGGTAATGTTATGCGAGTTATTCTAGAACTAATCCGACTTTCGGATTTGGAAATATTTCCACTAGTCGGGGAAAATTATGTGTGACCCTTTCGAACAAATGCTGCTAGCGGAATTCGAAATATTCCGACTAAACGAGGGAAAGTTATGTGAGTCATTCGAGAATCAATGCGAAGGTCGGTCTTGGAAATATAAAGATTTGATGATGGAAATTTATCCAAGTTTTTCACGAACCAATGCGTCTGTCAGACTTGAAGATAATCTGACAAGTCGTGGAAAGTTAATCGATTGACTCTTGAACAATTGCGTTTATCGGGGTTGGAAATATTCCGACTTCACGAGGAAAAATATGCGAGTACCACTCGAACCCATGCAGCAGTCTGACTAGGAAATATTACGAATAGTCGAGGGAAAGTAATGCGAGTGTTTGTCGAACCAAAACGACAGACAAATCAATCCAACTAGACGATGAAACGTTAATCGAATGACTTATTAACAAAAGCGACGGTCGGTAATAAAAATATTCCCAGTGGTCTTTGGAATGTTATGAGAGTGTAAATCGAATCAATGCGGATGTTGGATTTGGAATCATTCCGACTAGTCGAGGGAAAACTTTGCGAATAACTTGTGAACCAATGCTACTGTGTGACTTTGAAATTACACGACTAATAGAGGGAGAGTTATGCTAGTGTCTTGTGAACCAATGCGACTGTCGGGCTTGGAAAGATTCAGAAAGGTCTAGGAAAAGCTATTCGGATGCCTCTCAAACCAATGCGGCTGTAGGACTTTCAAATATACCGACGAGTCGATGGAAAGTTATACGATTGCTCTTCGAACCAATGCAGCTTTCGTAATTGGAAATATTACTACTAGTCGAGTGAAATTTATGCGAGTTATTCTGAACCAATGCGAAGATCGGTCTTGGAAATATCCCGATTAGTCGTTGGAAATTTATCCAAGTGTTTCTCGAACGAATGCTGCTGTCGGACTTAGAAGTATTCCGAATAGTCGAGGGAATGTTTGTGCGAATGACATGGGAACAAATGCGACAGCCGCACATGAAAATATCCCGACTAATCAAGGGAAATTTATGCGTGTGCATTGTGAAACAATGCGACTGTCGATCTTGGAAATACTCCGACGTGTCGAAGGAAATTTAATCCGGTGCCTCTCGAACCAATGCGCTTGTCAGTCTTGGAAATTTAACGACTATTCAAGGTAGAGTTATAAGAGTAAAATTTGAGTCAATGCGACTCTCGAGCTTGGAAATGTCCTGGCTAATCGAGGGAAATAGATGCGAGTTATATCGGAAACAATGCGACGGTCGGACTTGGAAATATTCCGAATAGTCGAGTGAAAATTATGCGACTGATTCTCGAACCAATGAGGCTGTCGGACTTGGAAATATTTCGACTGGTCGAAGGAAAGTTTTGCGAGTGATTCTAAAAAAAATGCGAACGTAGAACTTGGAAATATTCCCACTAGTCGGGGAAATTTCTGCAAGTGCCCCTATAACAAATGCGACTGTAGGCCTAGGAAATATTCCGACTAGTCGAAAAAAAGTTACGCAAATGCCTCTCGAACCAAAGAGACTGCCGCATTTCGAAATATTTCGACAAAACGAAGGAAAGTTGTCCGAGTATCTCTCGAACCAATGGAACAGTCGGACCTAGAAGTATTATCATTACTCGAGGGAAAATTGTGCGAGATCCTCACAAACCAATGCGACCGTCGCACTTAGACATATTCCGTCTAGTCAAGAGAAAGTACTGCGAGTGCCTCTCGATCCAATGCGGCTGTCAATTCCACAAATATTACGCCTAGTCGAGGAAAAGTTTGAGTATGCGTCCCGAACCAATGCGACTGTAAAAAATTGAAATATTCCAACTAGTCGGGGTAAAGTTATGAGAGATCCTCTTGCATCAATTCGACTGTCGCATATGGAAATTTTCCGTCTAGTGAAGGTAAAATTATGCGAGTGACTTGTGAACCAATGCGTCTATCGCATTTGGAAATATTCAAACAAAATTCGAACAATAAATATAAACGTATATTAGAAGTAGCATTAGTTAAAAATAACAACAGGTTAAAATATATTTACACGTTAAATTCCAACGAAAAAGAAATAAGTTTTCCTTTACCAATAGAAAGTTTAAAACAAGTAGATTTACTTGATAGGCCAAGACCTAATGGATTGTTTGTCGAGGAGAGCGAAATCTCACTTAGTTTAATAAATAAAAGAAATATAATAAACTTAAAAACTAATAAAGAAAAATTCTATAAACGAGAATACTAATAATGAGGACAGATACATGATGCGTATATTAAATCTTTCGACAAATAGAGAAAAGAAAATAACGAGGAATAAACAGACATACACCTAGAAAAATATTAAAATCGTTGTTCAAAATGTACATCAAAAATTCTCTTAAAACCAATTTGTAAGATAAGAGAACTCGAATTCGTTAAGTTCCAGAACAAAACATAGGAAAC